CTCCTTTCCTTCCTGACATCGGCGGTGGGACTCCCGAGTGAGGCAGGATAGGGATCGACGGTTCCTGTCCCTGTCCCCCTCCTTACTGGTTTGGTTCATCTTGGAGATACAGAAATAGGAGAAGCAAAAGAGCAGGATCGCAACGAAGGCAAACAGCAAGTTCACGTTCTTTGCCTTCATCGCGCCGGCGTCACGGCGGGTGGAGGCGACCCGCGTAGCTGTAGGCTGGAGGCTGCACGCAGAGGCTGGCAGAACGCGGCACCTGCGTCCCGAACCACGCGCGTGCTGTCCTTAGGGTCCCCAGCACTTTAGTCTGGTCAGATCGAGGTCTCTTCTTGAGAGCACTTATGACCCTCTGGCTAGGGCTGCGGGGTGATTAAATGTGAGAAACTGTGGCCTTGGACGGTATGGCTCTGGCTCGACACCACCGACTTAGCGTATTTTTCCTGAGCGAATTCTTCAGAATTTTGATTCAAAGGTGAAAAACACATGGCATAACCGCGAGGTACCTTCATCCCTGTTTCCGATGTGATTTTTCCACTCTGAACTCTCTTGGAGACTCAAGGGCAATGCTTGGGTGATAAGCAATCTCTTTTCTGCAAGCGCACCCGGGTTTCTGGCCCCTTTGAGAGTTTAAAAAGATTTGGATTCCCATCTGCTTGAGAATGTCATAGTGAATGCTAAAGACCCAATTTTCTGTCAGAAACTTTTTAAGCACAAATATTCCAGTGTCTACCACAAGGTGGCAGCATTACGTTTCAACCAAACCAAACCAAACCAAACCAAACCAAACAATAACAATGAAGTATTTGAATGGGTTCTGGTAACAGAAAATCCCCAAATCCTTTGAATGTGCTGGAATCCTTGGGTCCCTATACCACACTTGGATCACTGTTCATATACATTTTCATAGCTTGTTAAACAGACTCTGGTATGTCTTCTTCCTTTCCCCTGGCAGGCCCTGAAGGGAGTATGATTTATTGTTGCTCACTGGAGGTCCAAAGTTATTTTTAGCTCCATATTTAGCCGAAGATACATGGACAGGAATGGGCTCTTACTCCTGGCTGGATGACCAACTGGCTGGCTTCTCCCTACAACTATCCAAAACTTCCCAAGGCAAATCACCATAGTGCCCGCATCAGCACGAAAACACGCTTGATTCTCATAAGTAACCACGTTTACATACAGTCTTACACTAGCTGTGACAGCAATCAGAGAGGCCAGATATCCTTGTGGAAAGGCCACAAACACACATTTGTCGCCAACCGTGCTAGACTTTTCTCTGAGTGCGATCAGAGAGTTAGTCTGATTTATCACCCAGATGCAGCCCATTCAGTCTGCTGAACTGCTGTTCAGCTTACACAATGCCTGGCCTAACAGTGACTTTCTTAAAACATGGCAGCTATGTTACATCGAGATGGTCCAGCTCCATCTGCAAGAGCTACTCTCTTTCCTGGGCTACCTAGGGTCAACAGAAGACACAAGTGGAGATTAGGATTTCTGCTTCTTTTGTTTCACAAGGAAAGATGACATTTCCTGTGTTCTTCAGGAATTTGTCACTGCCTGGCATTTGGTTCTAGCGAGCACTGGACCAAGCCGAGGGCTTTCATTTTGACTGTCTTGTTGAATCTACATGAAGGGCACGTCTGTGTCTCACAAAGGCATTTGACTTTAAGATGGTAGTGACAAGGACCTTAACCATGCCAATTCTAATTTTGTAAAGTCAAGAGTTATGTATTTTTTCTTATTTCTTCCTCCGCAGTGTCATCACTATTGGTTGATGCCCTGTAGATCACACCACATTATTTACATCAAAGGCTTGAGTGTCTGTGGACTTTGGTGTCAGATGGGTCCTAAGGAAAATCGCTCATAAAGACTGAGGGATGACACTTCCATCCTGGGACAAAGTTTTCTGCATCCCAAGTTCATGTGAGTTCATGCACAAAAGAACAGTGCTGTTTAAAATTTGGGTCCTCTGTGGAGCAGATGCTTGAGTTGTAACAAGGAGATGGTTTAGTAACTGTATCGGGCAGGTCTCACCATTCAGCAGGCTCTCAGATCAGCAGCTGTATGGTTTTCCCACCTTAAGAAATGGAGATACAGCAGTGTGACTAAGAATTAGAATGGAAAGCTGGAAAGACAATTTGGTGAGTGTTTGCCATCGTCAGCATGGCTGCCTGAGTTTACAGCCCCAGCAAGGATGTGAGAATTCTTCTGGATCATCTTGTACTTCACACAGTCCTAGAGCTTGGGAGGAGAAGACGGGAATACTCCTGTAGCATGCTCCCCAGCCAGGCTATCTAAACTGGTGAGCTCTATGTTTGGCTAGAGATTCCTTTCAAAAAATAAGGTGTAACTGAGGAAGATGGCCAGGTGCCAAACTCTGGCACCCCTCCACCCCCACACACAGGTAGCCAGACTTCATTACAATGTAGCCTTTGGCTCTTTTAGGTATAAAGCCTGAAAGGGCCCACAGTTAAATAGAGAGACCTAGAGAAGATGGTCCCATTTTCACCTGTCTTAGAACTGTACTACTTCTTAGCTGGCCCCATAGAAGAAGAAAGCCAAAGAGAAAAAATGCAATGAGCATCTTCTCCTGGGAACAGCGGGGGTTTATATATACAAACGAGCACACACACACACACACACACACACACACACACACACACACACGCAGGCACACCCAGAAACAGCTACAAAAAGAAACAAAAATCAGGCTAGGGAAAAATCTCTTGGTGGAAGGAAACTGGCAGCCAGTTCCTGGGCAGGGATGCAGCTGGCCTGCAAAGATCCAGGAGCAACCAGGGCAGACAGAGATTTCTTTCACGTCTCCCCTGCCTCTACACAGAGAACTGTGGACCTGCAGCCCCTGTGCTTTTGGTGGGCTCTGGGTTCTCCCCCTACTCCATTTTGTTTGACAGCTTTCACAATTCATACAATTTTTTTACCTTCTGTGTATTCCCATTGTCAAGATTTGCCACTCAGGGCCTGCTTAGGAACCTGTAAATCTGGATGTTCAGAGGCTACAGAAACAGAACCACTTACTGCAGGAGCCTACAGAAGAGAAGGAAGGCTGTCTTCAATACTTCTGCAGAGGCTTGGCTCCTGAGACTTCTCTTCTTTCTTCCCTGGGCTCACTTGAACCACCTCTAGGATGTGACCAGCAGCTGCAGGCAGAGGGACTCTTTACTCCAAGACTGTGCCTTCTAGCTACAGAAGGGAATTATTATCCCTGCAGCTGCTTCCAGCCGCCTCCACCCACTCTGCTCTAGACTTCCAGACCTGTGGCTTCTGAGTTTGAGTCTCCTGGCTTTGTTACCTTGCTGGCCCAGTGACCTGCTAGAGCTGTGTGCTTTCAGAAGCTGTAGGAGCTCTACTAAGAGTTCAAAAGTCTCCATTTAAACAGTAAAATCCTGCATGACAATGGTTTAACGTAGCTTTTATCTTGTTAAGGCTGTTAATCTTAGAGCGCCTCCTGTTTGTACTCTCTGCCATCTGCGCACTCCATCCTGGGAGGAGGGCCCGACAAGAACTTGATTGGGGACAGAAAAATTTTCTGTCTCCACCAAAAATATTTCACTTCCACTGGGACGAAGATGGTGGTTTATGTGTCTTTCATGCATTTCTGTTCTACAAATAGAATCTACCTTTAAGATGATAGTTGAGTAGCGGCAAAGGGTGTACCGCTCACTTCATTTGAGTTAACCAGGAGATGAGTGGAGCACAGACAAAACACTGGCTTGAATATTTCTAGAAGTATAAGGAACTGAGCAAGGGAAATAGGGAGCCAGGAATCTTGGTTGGGTGGGAGGATTCTTCAGTTATTTACTTTTTGAAACAGAAACTTACTTGTGTTGCCCAGCCGGCCTTGATGTCCCAATCTTCTGGCTGGGATCACAGGCATGCAGTATCATGCCCAGTTCAGGGATTTCTTCTGTTTCATTTTATTTATAACATGTCTTTTGTACTTGATCTTTTTTTCCACTTTGCCCTTCTCTAACCCTCTGACCCCTCAATGCTTCGTCAGCATTTAATACATTCCTAATCCAACACCTCTCCACTTACTGCTCACGTGGGTCAGCCTTCCTCCTGAAGCGGTCCCAGCACACTCCCTTGCTCCCTCCCATAAAAGCTTACTCTTATTGTGCTGACTCTGCTGTACCTAGCTCCTTCCCGTACTCCCTAATCCCCTTTGCCTAATCTTCCTAGTAGCCAGCAGCTTCACCCGATACTATGTTTTTGCCGGTTGGTTTTGTGTGTAGCCCCTTGTAGAAGACAGTCTAGCACAGTATACCAGCTAATAAACTGTAACTTTTGAGGTTTTAAAAATGTGCACAAATTATTCCTCCAGTAGAAACAATACTTAAGAAATGAATAATAATAAATGAATGAGAAATGAATAAAATAACTTTGATAAGTTAATCGTTCAATGTTCTTCTTCAGAAGGAAAAAGTCCAAACTTCGCAACTTCTCGTTGCACACACAGGCCACCCAAATTCCTTTGCAACATCCATAAAGTCCCGTCGAGCCAAGTTTCCTTTGTTTCTCATAAAGAGGGGAAATAATCACTTCGCAGATTAGGAAATGAAGGTGAAAGTGCTGTAGTCACACCCGAGGCAGAATAGTCTTTGAAACCCGGGAGCAAAGTTTCCAGGCCAAGTCCACGGGGACCACGTTGACACTGGGCGTGGCAGCCCGCCCCCCGTTGCCAGGGGAACCGTCTGGCGTCCGGGGCACCAGCGGCAGGCCCGCCTTCCGCGCCAGCGATAGGCGGGAGCGCGGGCCAATCGGAAGAGGATAAGGAGGCGTGGCTCGGAGCTCGGCACCGCCTTCCCCCGCCCCCAACCCCGGCCTCCGGTGCCGACTTCCGGGTCGCGGTGTTTGCGGGGAGCGCTCGGCGTAGAGCGTCGTTTCCGTTGCCGGTGTTTGCAGCTGGCGGAAACCGAGGCAGCGCCAGCTTTTCCTAGTTCTCCCGCTCCTGTGAGGTGGCTGCTGTTTTAATCTTCTCTCACCCTGCGTTGCTGGCGTGCGGCGGCGCAAGCCTCGCGGGGGTCCCGCGCTCACCCTCAGGGGGCCGGGGCCGTCGGGGCTTTGTGCAGCGTTCCCGCGCGCGAGAGGGGCGGGACGGCGCGGTCCCCACGGGGCTCGCGCACGACTTCCCGGTGCCTGGCACTTCTGCCGCCTCCGTCCCGACGAGCGCGGACGGGATGCCTCATTTTAAAGACCCAGATCCGCGCGTCTGGCACCGGCACCCAGTGCCCTGGCCTGCGGGGATTGCGAATTTGACAGCTCCTCGGGCCCCGGCGCAGAGAGGGTGTGTCTGCGAATCCCAGGCCCGGAAGGCAGGCGAGGAGCGGTTTTCTTTCGGTCCCCGGCATCCCTCCTCCCCTTCGTTTAGTACTCGAAGAGTTTTCTTCTAAGACCCAGTTGTATCAAGTGTGTAGGTTTTGCGGGATTTAAAACGAAACAAAACAAAAAACTTTTTTTTTTGGCATTTCTGCCCTTCGTCTATTGACTGGAAAAATCATGAGTTCGTCAGGATGCCATCTGCTCGGTTTTCAGCCTGTATGCTTCAGTTTGTAAGCCACTTGTGCTGGCGTCAGCTGACCGAGACAGCTGGGACACGCTCTGCACCCGGGCAAGAAGAGCTCATTCTTGGGGAAGTCACATGTGATGTGTGGTTGATTTGAAATTGTTGCTCGGTTCGTCTTTTTATTCTCAAACTGTTTAGTTCCAAGTTTGAAGGGATGAAAAACGGAAGTAGGAATCCAAAATTCGAAATACTATTATTTGGTAAAAATGTAAGGTAGTTATTGTTCTTTTAAGCCATTAAATAATTTGGCCAGCTTTTTCCCTAATTTTTTTTTTTTTACAATTTTTTAAAAAGTGAACATTTGGCCTAGAGATAACTTGACCATCTAGTTAATTAGTATTTGATTTATGCTGTTTATTGTTTCCTTGCCTGACTGATTAAACAGTCACAAAATAAGACACAGTGGAATAAAAGATTTTGTTATTATTTGGGATTTGGGGAATTGGATCAGCTTAATTTGTTTTTCGGTTTTTTAAAAACCCCAGTTTAAGGCCGTTAAGCTTGTGTTCTTCTATCCTCCAGGACAACATGTTTATTTCTCTGTGGGAGTTCTTCTATGGGCACTTTTTCCGGTTTTGGATGAAATGGGTCTTACGACAGATGACTGGGAAGTGTGAACTGCAGCGAATTTTTGACACCTATGGCGGCGCACAGAGGACATACAGGATAGGTAATGCTACTCAAAAGCCGAAAAATTCACGATTAATAAAAACGTAATTGAATGCTCTCTGTCTACCCAGTGGTAATGTACTTGTGTGTTCTGATTAAATCATTGCAACTGAGTTTCTTAAGCTTTGTGGTCCTTGAGTCCTTTTAACTGTACTACTGAACACTGAATGATTGTATATGAAAAACTTTTTATAGCTACCCAAAGAAGAAATATTTTGGGTTTCTAAAAATACATCAGTTAGCCTGGCAGTGGTGGTGCATACCTTTAATCTTAGCTCACAAGAGGTAGATCAGGAGGATCTCTGTGAGTTCAAGGCCAGCCTGGTCTACAGAGTGAGTTCCAGGACAGCCAGGGCTACACAGAAAAGCCCTGTCTTGAAAAACCAAGCAAGCAAACAAAAAAGTATCAGCTATTTTTCAGATTATGCTTGCAATAGTTTACTGGAAAATTATTCTTTCTTCCATTTGAAACTTTACACAAATATATGGTGAAAAGATTGGAAGAATCAGGATCTTTTCCTACATCGTGGCCTCATTCTTCTCACATCCTACTCTTATTCATGAATGGGCAGACTGCTCATTTGTCCTAGAAAAGGTTACTAGAACCTGCCAGGGCCAGGCTTGTAGAGATGACCACATGGCTGCTGAGCACTTGGAGTGTGCATGTTGTCAACTGAGTTGTGCTGTACCCTTAAGGTACACACTGGATCTCAGAGTCATATAAAAATTGTAAAGATGTCATACCTGTATTTGTAATATGTTGAAGTGATAATTTTTTGGATCTGTTAAGCTATAGTAATATAAATTAAATTTCTAATTTAATGTAGCTGTGGAAATTTTATACAATACACACACACACACACACACACATGCACACATACATACCTACCTACATACTACATACATGGGCTTATTTTGTCTTGTGTTATTTTCCTGCCGAATGAGTTTTCCAACATTTAATTGAAAGTATTGCTCTGACTTCAAACTCAGATAGATGAGAAATGTGGTTTGAAGTCACTTTAGGTGTAGTAAGAAAGACCTGGGCAGAGCCACAGCAAATGTTGCTGTGTTAAGTGGAAAATCGAGAATTAACCAGTTCCTATTTTATGTTGATTAAGATTACCTCAAATGAGGAATCATGACCCTTAGGGCCAAGGGACTGAGGCCTGGGCAGTGGGCCCTGTACCCAGGGTGGCCCTGGAAGAATGGCAGGAGCATTTCATGGCCACTCTTTGATTTTCCCTCTTGCCTGCTCAGAAGACCCACACACCTCTTGATACAGGTCTCTTTGGGCTGCAATGGTTGGCGCTTTATAATTGGGAAGAGTATATTCAAGGCTTTACTTTGAGGCAGAAAGCATTTTTCTTAAAATTCCCAAAAGGAGAGCATTCTCAGTGTACCAGAAACTTTTTTTTTTTTAACAGACCAACACAGATATTCTTGTCATTCTTGGCACAAAGGCACAAAGGCCAGGACTACAGAGAGAGGCTGTTTGCTCTTTGCGTGGGCCAGGAAAGGTAGCGAGGCCGTCTGGCCTCTGCTCCTTTGTTCCTGTGCTGTTCCGTCGCTGGCCACTCACTCGGGCTGGCAATGGAGAGAAAGTAGTGGCTTTGAGTGCAGTCTTCAGATGAATTTCTGAGAGCTGAGCTGTGGGCAGACACTCTCACTATGGCGGTCTGCATAGAAGCAAGACATTCTGGGAAAACGGGTTGACACCAGCTTGGTACTGTGTTGAGGGGAGATCGTTCTACCTTCATCTTGATCCTATAAGATCTTGAGATTGATTATCCTGTTGTTCATGTAGAAATTGTATCTTAAACTGTGAGAGTGACTTATCGTTGCTTTTATATTTTTACTATTTGATTTTGTCTAATGCAGAAAATACATTTAAGTGGTAACTTTTTTTTTTAATTTCAGAAAACTCCTTGACATATTCCAAGAGTAAGGTAAGGTCATATTAAAATGCTAATTCTACAAATCTTAACATAAGCATTTATTTTTCTTTAAAAAGAACACTTTATATTTACTGTCTTTGCTATGAGAAACTGTGAGTTTAGTTTTCTCATTTTAGAAGTAGTAATTCTGTTTTCAAATACTTTCTGTGTTTTGAGTATTTCAACTGTGTCCTCTTCTGAGGCTTTGCCTCTTTATTTTGCAGTAGCAGTTGGTAGCTTTTGGAGACCAGCATCTTAGGGAAGCCTTCCCATCACTGTGTCCTCAGGGTAGCTTGTGTGAGAGAAGAGCACAGCGATTCTGGCTGGAGCAAACCCTGCATGTTTACCTTTTGACCCAAAGCGAGTCCCGACGTGTGCCATGTAGCTGCCAGCTTTTTGCCATCTAAGAAACAAACCCAAAGCTGCAGGAGCATAAAGCAGGGTTACACATGTGTGCTCATGCACATGTGGGCCAGCTGCACAGACCCTTTATCATGTTGGTGTCCCGGTCTCAGGTGTGTTCCACTTGTCCCACTATAGGCCCCAGGTGTGGGATTCAGTGTTGGCAGAGGGAGTGGTCTCTCAGTGGCTCACTGGAAGCCTGACAGACCGTGTCCTCTCCATCTGCATTCCCGGGTTTACCTGAGTGGTCAAGTGCAAAGCAAGGAGTCCGCAGGTGCAGTCTGACTCTGTGAAGCTAAGGCAGGCAAGTGGTTGCCTAACTGAGTTGCAGTGATGCAGAGTCAGGACCAGTACGCCAGTCTGCCACGTGCAAGCCGCAGTGTTTGATGCTAGCGTTAATCAGATCACAGTGTTCTGTGTGTAAGAATTACTGGGGTAGCAGAGACAAACGTACAGGCACGTAGGTCATTATTTGACACTGTTAAGGACGATGGCCAGCATTCACAGTGAAAAAAGGGGTAGTAAACATGTAGAGATGATTGCTCACGGTAAGATTAAATATTGTTTCCACATTGTTAGTTCAGTTTCCTGTGTGTGCATCTGCTTTAGATAACCGTATATGTCTGTACTTGGTCCTATTGTAAACTGTGAATCATAAATCATAGTACGCACATGGACATGACGCAGTCTGCAAGTGTTGATAAGAGTTGCTGACTCACGCTGGAACAGAAGGGTGGTGGGTTCTGCATGCTGAATGCTTCTTTCTGGAGAGTTGCCGCTCAAGTGGGTGCTTACTAGTTACGGTACAGCCTCACAATGAACTGTGTGAGAACAACTTACATAGATAAACACGGGGACACTGGGGAGGGCATAGAGTTGTCTTTTGTTCAGAACCCAAAATGATTGTTTTTTCCTATGAGAATGCGGCATCTGAAAATTGAAAGTTTCTGCTCTGGTTCTCACGCACGTACACACACACACACACATATACACACACATATACACACACCTATACACACACATATACACACACACACACATACACACACACACACACACACACACACACACACACACACACACACACACAGAGGCAGATCTCCACAGCAGCCTGTGCATTGTACCGGGCCTTCTTGGACACATCATCTCTCAGGGTCTGTCAGGACAGGTTCAAATGCAGCAGCTCCAGCCCTCTGGAGCTTGTTGGAATGTAGGCACTGGGCCCCACTCCAGAAATCCTTGTTTTGCTTCTGATGTGTTGGTTTCCTGGTGACACTGGGTCCTGCATGTTGTAATATGAGCGGCAGGGCTGCGTCCCCAGCACCCGACTGCCCACATGGCTAGCTCTAGCTTATGCCCCTAAATAACTACACGGAAACTGTATTCTTTTAAACAACACTTGGCCCATTATATCTAGCCTTTTCTCGGCTAACTCTCACACCTGGACTAGCCCATTTCTAATAATCTATGTAGCCCAAGAGCTGGCTTACCAGGAATGATCTTAACCTGCATCTGCCTGGAGTGGGAGAATCATGGCGACTCCTGACTCAGCTTCTTTCTCCCAGCATTCTGTTCTGTTTACTCCACCCACCTATGTTTTAACCTATGAGGGCCAAGCAGTTTCTTTTTATTGCTTAACCAATGAAATCAACAGATTGATATATGACACTCCCACATCACCTGCAGGTCAGGTCAGGGCCATGCTAGGAGGTTCAGCCCTGTGTCTTGCCTGCTCCCATTCTTTCTGTAAGAAGCCACATGGACCAATGGATGCTAAGCAAGTTGTGTTTCTTTGTATCGTAAATCTGGGAATATTTGAGAATGAGCCATCCTTTGACAGGGGCTTCCTTGTGGTCTGGAAACCACATTGTGACAATGTAATAGTCCCTCATACCACACCCTCAGAGCCAGCATTGCCCCAGCTCCTGAGGAGTGTGTCCTCTCGAATGATTTGACACCTGGAGCTTCACCTGCCCCTGCGTTGCTCACGGGGTTGCATCTGGCTTGGCTCTTGTCCTGTTCCGTGTCATCTCACCACTGTGCTGCCGCTCCAGACCATCACACCACCTGCCATCGGGCTGTGTGCCATGAGAGCCAGAATGCTTGTTCTCCCAGTGAAAGCTTAAGGGACCCCATCTCCAGTTTCATCAGTTCTGAACTCAGGAGTGCTCTGACCACTCTCTGCTTGGAATTGTAACCCGCAGCCTCCCCTCCCTGTCCTTTTGCCTTCCTTGTTGTGCAGTATTTTACTCTAGTTCTCCATTTTCTCCTGCATGGTGTTTGTTAATTGCATCTGTGTCCCTAGAGCCTGCACCAGTTCCTAGCGAGTAACAGTGCTCTGAGTACAGACAAAGCGGAGATGAACGGTTTGCAGCCGCAGGGTCTCCACATGGGCGTGTAGTGTTTGCTCCCTTTGCTTGTTCTCGTGGAGAAGGTACAGAATCTGAACTCAGCACCCATGCAGCAGCAGAACCGCTGTAATGAGGATCAGCTGCAGCAGCAGCATCTGGTCTCAGAAGTTATTAGTGAGATTTTATGTGATAAACTAAATATGAGCAGGATAGGAAGTAAGATGTTGGTGAACTCTCAACGAGGATTTCATGACTGCATTTCAGCATCCTGCCAGTGTCTTCAGTGACTAATAAAGAAGTAAAATTGATGCTGAGTAATTATCACCAGGAGAGAAGTCAGGAGTGGCACGGAGAAGGAAGGTGTAGACTCGACAGAGCCGTGTTTCTCATCTCCCTGATGCTGCCACCCTTTCATACAGCTCCCCATGCTGTGGTGTCCCCAGCCATAGAATCATTTCATGGCTACTTCATAACTGTAATTTTGCTATTGTTATGAATTGTAATGTATATATCTGATATGTGACCCCTGTTTAAGGGTCGTTTAGCCCCAAGGTGGTCAAGACTCCACAGGAGTGTATTAAATAAGCAGAATAATATTCTAATTTCACCTTACTTACTAGTTTCTTTAAAAATGTCACTTGAAATATAAATGTTAAGGTTGTATTCTTATGCTATCACCATTAGAAAAGTAAAATACTGCTTGGTGATAGTAGTGTACTCGGGAAGCAGAGGCAGGTGACTCTGTAAGTTCGGGGCCAGCCTGGTCTACAAAGTGAGTTCTGGGACAGCCAGGACCACACAAAGAAACCCTGTCTCAAAAAACAAAATAAAACAAAAAACTGTAAAGTAAAATCCTGATGTTTTGTAGGACACTATAAAGAGAAAAGCTAATACTGCACAGACTCAGTTAAACAGTAGATGCTTTGTTGTCTTGAAGCTGAAATCCAAAGCACGTTTGTTAGTACATGGAGATGGACTTGCCAACGTACACATGCAATTTGTGCATATTTCACACATTATATTTACTTTAAGAGAAAAATCTCATTCTGGTCTTGTGTTATTTCCATCGACTGGCTCTGCATTTTATTGCACGAGAAGAAATCTGGACAAAAACTCTGATTTTATTGCTTCCTACTTGTTGGCCTTTGTGCAGTTGGCTTTAACCTCATCAGTACCATGTGATGGTTTTACGACTAGAGGCATTAATATGAAGGCAGCATAAGAAAATCCATCTTGATAATATTGATGATGATATAGTTAAGCCAGGGGACAAACATCCATGAAACTCTCTTATGTATTTAAATGCTTTGCATTCCCAATGCTTGTTATGAATAACAGCAATTTATTCTATTAAATCCCCAAAAGTGATCTCAAAGTATGGCTGTCTTTTATTGTAAATTGTTTGACAGTTGAAACTTCTTTGATTGTTATAAGTTAAGTCTCACTTACTCAGTTACAGACTAGGGACTGCTTATAAATTATCTCCTATGGCTGCTAAAATATGAAAAATTTCAATATCTGGAGTATAAGCATAGTATTGATTCCATTGGTCAAAGAATTTTGTTGGAAACAGAGAAAGAAAATCAGAGCATAATCAACATTTGTTTAGCATACCAAAGCAAATTTTAAAGACCTGAACTAATTTTCTGTATTTGTATCTTTAGAGACCTGAGAAGATACTAAGTCCAGAGTAAGCTGAGGAATTTACAAATAAGGCAGAAAAGCAATGAAATTATGAAACACACAAAAGTAGATTACCAAAAAGCTCAGAAACTGATTTTTAAAAAAGATTAATAGTATCAATAACCTCTATAACTGACCAAGTATGAGAGAAGAAAAATGCCGAGTGTGTAGACAAGATATCACCCTAGCCTAGGTTCTGAAGTTCTGTGAGCGACTTCATGCCGGTAAATCTTGTAGCTTAGATGCAATGGAAAGAGTTTGTAGAAAAGATAGTTTATCAACTAATATGAAAATAAACAAAAGACCTAGCTGGCCATATATTCAAAAAAAAGAAATCTCCAATTTAAAATGTTTTAAAAAAATCTCCATCATTGGCCTAATTAATTCTCTTTTAAAAGATATTTGAACCTTTGTATTTTTATTTTAGGGTGTTTGCCGGCATGCATGCTTGTGCACCATGTACATTCTTGGGGCCCACGATGGTCAGAAAGGTATCAGATCTCCTGGAGCTGGAGTTACAGATGTTGTGAGCCACTGTGTAGATGCTGGAAACGAAACCCAGGTCTTCTACAAGAGCAGCTAGTGCCCTTAACCATTGAGCCTTCTCTCCAGCCTGGCCTAATTCATTGTCACCAAACATTCATGGAAAGAAGAAACAGTGCCACTGTTAACAGAAAGTCCTAGGATATAGAGGTGAAAAAAGCATTTTTTATTTTTTTGAGGACAGACTAAAACCAAATAAAGAAAGACATGTAAATAAAAAGTACAACTCAGTACCCTTTATGAATGTGATACAAGAATCCTTACAGAACAGTAGCAAGGATAATAAATTATGATTGAAGTTTAAAATCAGTGAGTATAATTTATTACCACACTAACAGAGTCAGAAAAAATATGATCATTTTGATGGATACTAAAACATCTGATCATGATTAAAAACTCCCACCTAGAGGAGCAGAAGCTCCTCCAATCTGCTGAAGGCCAGCGAACAGTCTGCAGCTGGCACGGAAAACTTTCCGATAGTGAATGTCTTGTCATGTGTAGTGGAAGCATGACCGATGCGTTGTGTTTCTCTGCTTCTGCTCAGCTTCGTTGCACTGGAGATCCTGGGAACCACAGCCAACCAGAAACAAACCCAAGAAGTAGCTGGCCAGAAAGAACTATTAGCATAAATGCAGTCTGAGAGTGTGAACAACCCTGGAGTCCTCAGAGGCTGCTGCTGTGTACTAACAAGCAAACTGAACAGTCTGGCAGCAGGTAGCTCACTGCTGTCTGTGTTAGCAGTGAGCTTCCGGACCATGAGAGAGCAGTGCTACCTACCACAGCAGCCAGAAGTGCAAACACCGGGGAGTTTAGTAAACACTGTTTTCAGCCCTAAAACTTGTGGAGAAATTGTTGAGAAAAAAAAGAATAAAATGAAGCCCTGGTATTCATCAATTAAAAGACTCATTATTGTTAAAATATAAGTTCCAAATTGACCTATGAGTTTGTGAAGTTATTTTTCTGTTTTATTTTGTTTTTCCAGACAGGGTTTCTGTGTGTAGCTTTGGAGCCTGTCCTAGAACTCACTGTGTCGATCAGGCTGGCCTTGAACTCACAGAGATTCCCCCTGCCTCTGCCTCCCAAGTGCTGGGATTAAAGGCATCTGCCCCCACCATCCGGCGAGTTTGCAAAATTTTAATTAGAATCACATTGAGTATGTTTTGAAGAAACTGACAAGCTCATCTGCAGACTTATGCAGAAATAGAGGGAGGGGTCGGGATAGCTCAAATGGTCCTCTAAGAGACCAGATTAAAGGACCTAACAGGGCTTTCTAGACAAGGAAGTTTTCAGACAGACCAGACACAGACCCCACAGAATGGCTACCTTTTAATATGGTGACACAGTACTTCGTGGGAAAAGAAGCTGCCAGCAAGAGGTGCTAGAGAACTGGGTGCTGGGTGGGGAGCCCCGGCTGTGGACAGGAAGACAGCTCTTAGAGCCTGTTGTTGCTCCTCTTTAACATTGATTTTAAAACTCTGCATCTTTTTGACAATTTCATAAATATGTAATAGTTCATAACCATATTCTTCCCATTTTCATAACTTATTTTTTTTAACCCACTGAGTTTAATTAGGGTTTCTTTTATAAAAGAAACTAGGAGGCTTTTAGAAAACCGTAAATGTTTGCATGATCTCTTGGAGATCTGAAGGAAGTGTGGTTTCTTTTTGCATTTTAATATGTTCTTGGTAAGGCTGATTAAATGTCTCAAAACAGACTTCTACATCAACTCTCGGGGACTTCTCTCATTCAGCTGTGTCTCGATACCCAGGTCCTCCAGAGTGCCACACGAGTTGCTGAGAGTGAGCTGGACAGATGTGTAGCAGACATAATGAAGGAGAAGAACATCTGCCGGGAGAAAGACACCAGGTGTGCTGCTCCCTCTGTGATGGCATGGGGCTCTGTAGCGTGCTGTGCCGAGCCCTGCTCAGGTTACCTGGGGAACAGGTAACTTGTGGGTTGTTCTGTGTGCACTTCAGAGTTTCGTTGCTGTGTGGTGGAGTGTTCAGAGATGTGTGAAGGAAAAACAGGCCTCGCTTTGTTGTGATAAGAGGTTTGAGTTAAACTAACAATGTTATCCTTTCAGTTTTCAGATATGCATGAGGACGTGCTTACTGCAGATATCTGGCTATAAGCAGCTCTACCAGGCTGTGGAAAATGTGAGGAAAAAACCCTACGATTCTGGCAATGCACAGCATGAGAAACTGCTCCTCAAGGTAAGCGCTGGCTTTAGTGTTCCAGCAGGCAGGCAGCTTCAACTGTGAGCACTGTGTGGGTTCTAGAAGCTCATTCAGTCCACCCATTTGTTTGCCTCTTGGAGAATGTGTATTAGATTTCATTGATAGGGAAAGATTGTAGATCAACAGCTTTTTAAAAATATTTTTTTTTAATTTCATGTACATTGGTGTTTTGCATGTGTGTTTGTGTGTTTATGTGTTTGTTGGATCTCCTGGGACAGGAGGTACGTACAGTTGTGAGCTGCCAAGGGAATGCTGGGAATTGAACCCAGGTCCTTTGGAAGAACAGCCAGTGCTATTAACCACTGAGCCATGTCTCCAGCCCCCTGATCAATAACTCTTACTTGATAAGCATTTTTTAGAATACATTCAGGTAAATAGAGCTTCTAAGATAAGTTATCCATTCATAAAAGGGGGGTTCTTCTGCCTCCAGGCAGGGGTGCCTGGGCCCCAGAGCTTCCGTTTATCTAATTTTTTGTGGAGGTTGGGCTTTCCCTCAGAAGCACAGAAGCTATGAAAATAGATGCCCCTTTTGCACAGCATTGGGACATCAGTCAGCAAAACTGCCACGCCACAGTAGACTGCAACTGTAAGAAAGGTTGGCTTCCTGCTCCTGGTGTGTAGGGTGTGCAGACAGTGACCCTGTGTTATGTAAAGGCTGCCATAGAGAGAGCAGTAGAGAGAGTACTGTAGCCCATCCAGTCTGGCTCTTCCTGTGGGGAAGGGGATTATAGGGCTCTGGGGGATGGGCTGTCCTGCTGCTGGTGCTAAAGTCCTAGAGCTTGGGGAGAGCTGCCTCCTGCTCATCTGTGCTTCAGTTCACACTGCCTTCAAGGGGGCTGAAGGGGTGCTTTTGAGTATGCTTGCTTTCCTTCATACTTTTGGTCTTCCTCTCTCCCTCCCCCTCTCTCCTCTCCCTCATCCTCTCTACTTCACTCCCTCCTCCCTCCTCATATTAGAGATTTCTTGGCATTTCACGTGGTGTGCTTAGTTTTGATTGGCCCTCCCTACCTGCCTCTCCTCTCTGCTCCCCATCCCTGCTTAAACCCTTCTCTCCCAGTCTCCCGTTCCACTTTGATCTCACACATAACCCATTAGCATATATTGCACCTGGAGTTAGAACTGCACAGAACCAAAAGTCCTATGAAAGTAACTTTGGGGAGAGCTTAAACACAGCAAAACTGGGGCTGGGGCCAGGGCCAGGGCTCAGCACCCAAGAGTGCTTACTGCTATTGCAGAGGACCTGGGTTCAATTCCCAGCACCATCTGTAACTGCAGCTCCAGGGGCTCTGACACCCTCTTCTGGTCTCAGAAGGCATGAGGCCACACACATGGTGTACATAAACACATTCATAAACATAAAATGAAAATCTAAGCAAACAGGAAAACCTTTTTTGAAAAAATATAAATAAATACTTTACCTAATTGCAAAATTAAAATAAAACTTGTTATTATTTTGAGGTTAATAAAGGGTTATTATGTGGGTTGAGCTTATATTTGAAGTAATTTAAAGCATCCTAGATGAGTACTCTTATCTTCATTCACCTTAATTTGAGATGCTTTCTGTGTAACACCTGCCTTCCTGAAGGGATAAGACACACGGCCTAGCGCCTGCTCCAGGCACCTTTTCCCTTGACTGTCGCTTATGCAGTTCAGCTCTGGAGGGTGTGACAGTTGCTGACTCTAAGTTTGGCTCAAGTAGTTTTAAGTATAATCCAAAAACATGTTCACCAGCTTTTGTCAGTGTCTACGTTTGGGATACAAACTTCCACCTTAACCTTATGAAATCAGAATCTCCAGGCTACGGCCCATACTTGTATTCATGAATATTAAATTTTGAGTATTAAAAGCTCAATATGATGGCATGTACCTATAATCTCAGAATTCTAGAGATTGAGGCAAGAGGAAGGGGATTCAAGACTCTCCTGGGCTACATAGCAAGATGCCCTCTCCATAATCAGACATCAGATAAGAACTGGGCAGTCGTGGTTTTACACTGCAGCCCACACATTGAAAGCCTTATGCTATGGTCACATTCCTTGTTGATGTCAATGAGCTGGATAAAGTCCAATCTAATCGTTGGATTTAGCTTCAGGGCCAGAATTCTGGAAGGCCAATCTTGACAGTCTCTTAGGTGACGGGACACTCTTCCAGCACTCAACAGTGCCTCATGGCACTGAAATGGAGGTGGGGGTGCAAGCATTTTGTTTTGCTAAGCTTTTCAGTTTTTTAATCAGTGTCTACAATTCTGTTTTTGTCTGATGACTTACATTGGATCTTGAAACTGACTAAATTTTCTTAAATTAGTTTTCATTGACTGGTTTGTTCATATCTAATGAAGGGAAAGATTGTTAGTCAACAACTCTTGATAACACCTTAGTGTTAAAGATTCTACTTGTTTATAAGTAGGCCATTTAAAAAATAAATTTTATGAAATAGTCTCATGTACACACATACACTTATCTCTTGAGTTTTATTAATATTATTTCTTCATGGTTCTCTCCCTCAGGCCTATTTTATTTTATTTGTTTTTGGGCCTATTTATTTTATTGGATTAAAGATTAACTACCCAATATTATAGCAAAACCTGTTCAAGCTGAATTATAGGTCCATTTATCCAAGACTGCTCGTAAGCAATTTAATTCTAGTGTATATGTGTGTGTGTGTGTGTGTGTGTGTATAGCTAACATATATATTTGTTTACTAATCAATATGTTGCCATATATTGTGAATTATGACTTATAGACTGTAAATCATATAGAGAATGGGAAGTCAACATATATATATCAAAGAAGTTGTATATATATCAAATGATTAGTAAACATAGGCAGGTCATTGCTCCAGATGTCTGTGATTTTGATTTAAAGAAATGATTCTTTATAACAGTCTTTCTGATTGGAATAGTACACCATGTTTTTAATTCAACCCTTGTTGGTCTTAGAATTTGCCTAAAAGTTGTTGAGCTCAAAGTATTCAATTATGAGTTACTTAAGCTAAGAAAAGGAAAATGTCCCAGTAAGCCAGGAACATCATTATCATTTATAACACAAAAGCATGTTTGCACAGCTTTGGAGTCTTCTGATGCCTACAGAAAAGTTGAAGGCCCGGATCTCCAAGCAGTGGGTGGACATTGGTTTCCAAGGTGATGATCCCAAAACAGACTTCAGAGGCATGGGCATACTTGGACTGATCAATCTTGTGTAAGTGAAATAAGTTTCCTTTCCTTGGGTGAATGCAATTCCTTGTTATTTCCCGTCTCTTTCAAATCTAGTGAGAGCGGACCTGTTGTTTCATATTGACTCTGAGTTTTCATAACTATAGTCCACATGTTTGCTAGGGTGCTGACAGCAACTAGAAACATAGTATGTGCGCATGCGCATCCGCGCATCCCCTGTGCGCACCTGTGTCCGTGATGACTCACCAGCGTTTGCAGTGCCTTCCTCCTCCTTTCTGTTTCTGCCCTCCTGTTTCCACTGTGTGGCTCTGACTGCATTTGGGAAAACAGAATCAGGTTAGGTGACATGCCCCTCACTATGTCTGGCAGTTGACCTGGACCCAGGTCTGTTTATCATGGCTGTAACAACTTGCCTTTTCCCTTAGTACTTGGGCCATGTGCATGGAATCCTAAAATACGTCACAGCCGATAGCCAACACTATTCTAGTACACTGGAAGACCCAGCTCTTTTACCAGTGGTTCTCAACGTGTGGGTCATGGCCCCTGTGAGGAAAGTTACATGATTCATAACAGTAGCAAAGTTACAGCTATAAAGCAGCAACAAAATAATTTTATGGTTGGAGTCACCACAACATGAGGAACTGTGTTAAAGGGTTGCAGCATAAGGAAGGTTGAGATAGAGTTCTTTTATAAATATGCATGCGTTTAGACTGCAGTCTTTCAGTTTACCTGTGAATTATGATTTATACACTATCATTTAGAGAATGAGAAGCCAATAATTTCTTTGTTTTTTTACTTTTGAGAGATGGTTCTCTGTATAGGCCTGGCTATCCTGGAACTTGCTCTGTAGAATAGGCTTGCCTCGAACTCACTGAGTTCTGCCTGCCTCTCCAGAGTGCTGGGATTTAAGGCATGCATCACCACTGCCTGGCTTTTTGGATAATTTTACTGTGAAAAAAATCTGAAATTGAACTAAACTAAATTAATACTGAGAAAAAATATTTAGGCCAATATGGATAAAGCTATTGGGGGAAAGATATGTCATAATGAGACTTCAAGATGTATGTTATTTTAAATTATAAAAGCATGTATGCGTTGGTAATTTCTAAAATCTTAAAAGTTCTATATAATTCTTCTTCCTTAGGATAAATCCGACAGTAATCTTTAAGGAAGATGAGCAACTTCCCCACCTCCCTCTGAGCCTGGGGCTTTAGTCATTTAGCAGTCTGACTCTTGACTATGTTGACTCTAGATGGAGTACAGGGCTCTTCACTGAGCTGATGTGAAGAAGGCCAGGACTCACACAGGACTGTGATGTCTGCTTGTGAGCAGTGGGATAGAAAGGCGCACTCCAGCTGTGGCAGAGAGGAGACAGAGACGGGCGGCCCCGCAGGTGCCCTCTGAGTATTGTACAGGCCGGAAATTAGCAAGTTTCAAAACGAGGACTTTTTCTTTTATAAGTAAATAGGAAATCCCTTTGTAGCTGAGTTCTCTGTTAAGATAGTCTTGCCATCTACCTGTGTTCCTTATTGAGAGGCCTGATTCCTTAGGATTAAATTTGGACTCTGAGACCTCTGTGAGCCATTGAAGGGGCTTGAAAGGGGGGTGTCTGTGGGAGCAAGGCTGTTGTTTAGATGGTAGCATTTGCTTGTGCTGAGGTTTTCACGCTACTCATGAGTGTAACGTTTTCATTTCATCGTCTTCCTTGTTCAGGTATTTCAGTGAAAATTACACCAGCGAAGCACACCAGATTCTTTCCCGTTCAAATCACCCCAAATTAGGGTAAGCTGGACAAACATTAAAGAAGCTAGACTCTAGCAATGAAAATGACTATATAAATCTGAAGGTATTTCAAAATATGTCTTAAAATGATGTTATTTTAATACGTGATAACTGTAGAAATGATATTATAAACTATTTTAAAGAAAAATGACCAAAAATGTTCTATGTATTCCAGTTAATTGTATCGTATGATATAGTTTATAAAACAAAGATGGGGCTCAAATTTTTTTTCAAAAATTATTTCAGGGGCGGTGGTGGCGCACGCCTTTAATCCCAGCACTTGGGAGGCAGAGACAGGTGGATCTCTGTGAGTTCAAGGCCAACCTGGTCTACAAGAGCTAGTTCCAGGACAGGCTCCAAAGCTATAGAGAAACCCTGTCTCAAACCCCCCCTCCCCCCGCCAAAAAAAATTTATTTTAAAGTAGTAGAAAATAGTAAAGGAAATGCAAATTGAGGCCTTGCCTTGTTCTTAGTTTTATACTTAATAGTTAGAATAATAAAGCATGGTAAATGTAGATTTTCCTCTCTTTATTGTCTTTAGATGTTGTATGGTAGGAAATTTTATTTTTACTTCTTAGCTTCTCTCCAAAAAATTAACAGCCCTCAAGAAGCAAACACTTTGGATCTTTCTGCCTCCCTAAGTATAGAGAGATTTTTGCAAAGTGCGCCCTGTGTCAGGCAAGCAGCAGCACTGTTTGAGTGACTTAGCTATTTCTGCACTGTAAGCTTGTTGTGGGCTGCCGGCTAGCTGTGTAACTGGTTTTGTTTCTGACGTAGGTATTCATATGCAATAGTTGGAATCAATCTCACAGAGATGGCTTATAGCTTACTGAAGAGTGAAGCCCTGAAGCTGTATCTCTACAACTTTGTCCCTGGGATGCCAACCATGGAGCACTTCCAGCAGTTCTACTGTGAGTATTGGGAGGAGTCAGTGCTAGCGCTGCCAGGACAGCAGCCGCGTTCAAGCCATTGCCTGTGAGGTCCAGAGTTTACGCTTCACCTCTTACTGTTTAAGGTCTTCGAGGGCCAGGAAATGATGGGAGATGGGTCTCCCACTTCATTTGCACTCTACCTGCTGTATTTGAATTCAGGTTGCCTGGCTTGCGGCACACCGAGCCATCTCACTGGCAAGGTGGATGCATGCTTTCTGAAGATGAGATGGCCTAAGTGGATTTTATTCCCGTGGTCAACATGTTTGTGTGGTTTTTAATTGCAGGTTACCTTGTCTATGAATTTGACAAGTTTTGGCTTGAAGAAGAACCAGAAAGCATTATGTACTTCAACTTGTACCGAGAGAAGTTTCACGAGAAGATTAAAGGACTCTTAATGGATTACAACACTGCGCTCACTTTGAAAACATGAGACACACACAGCATCCTCTCTTTCTACCACATTTTGCACACACCGCAGAATTTATATGTTATAGAAATTATCTGATCAACTACACTCTTATATATAATTTCCTACAAAATCCTTCAGAACTCTATTTAAAAAGCTAGTGGACAATCAGTGTATGTTTACAGTTGTTTATACACTGTTCTCCACAGGTTCGCGCCCTTCCAAAGAGCCCTTCTGGAGTCACGTGAACTACAGTTTGGAACTTGGGACTTAGCCTATTAGCGTAAAAGTCTAAATCAGGTATATTTATATTTAGTCAGTTGACTAAATGTGCACGAATCTCATTTTTATGTGTTGTAGCTCTCAAGCTGGTGTCCTTTCCAAAAATTTAAAACTCTTCAAGATGATTTTTCAGTCTGGAAATGGCTTTTGAGTGTGCTTTGTCTCTTTTATTTCTAGCCAATGGGCACCGTGTGCACTCTAAGGCTTCCTTTGTGTCCCCAGCACTTGTCAGGGTGTCCCTGCCTTAGAGCAGGGGGAGCATGGTTCCATCAGAGAGGGCTTCTTTCTCAATTTCTCTGGAGACCGAACATGACAGAAAATGAGAGAATGGCAGCCTGGGTGACTCTGTTTTTATTGCCACGTAGCATATTTTGGGGGTCTTATTTCAAGGTTTCCAGGCATTTACCCTTGCTCAATGTTTGCTTTTATCAGCTGCATAGAGAACCTTCCTCAGAGCTCCCCAGGAGGCATCTGCCCCTGTGTTAGAGAGGAACTGCATCTACTAAGAAAATCCTGACTTTGGAAACATGGTTTCTTTTAAGATAAAACTATCTTTGAAAACTATACAGGAAGAAAACTGAGAGCTTTCGCAAAATCTCTGATCTCCATCATTGGTGTGTTTGACTTGCTGTTCATTTTTCCTTGGCCTTGCTTTGACTCTGGTGTTTCTGGGCAATGATGTAGGGACCTGGTCAACAGGCTGTGGGGTGCCATAGCCTGGACTATGACTGTGCTTTTGTATAGCTTTACTCCCCCAAAGCTCAGGAGGGTGACAAGTACTGCTGAGGATCAGACGTGATGAGATTCTGAAGGGATGCTTTCCTCTGGGCATGTTTTAGAGATTTGTTTTCAGAGAAAAATTAAAAGAGTCTAAAGATAGGAAACGATTATTGGATTCTGAAGCAGTGCTTAAGTCCCGTGGGGAAAAGTTCACAATATCATAAGTTAGAATATGGTGCTATTTTGCACATGTTTTAGTATCAGGTATTTAAAGACTAGCTTATGTGATAGAGGAAGATCTGGTACTTTCCATCAGTTGGTGTGTGTCTTTTTCAAACCCCTATCTTCATGCTGGTCGAAGAGTGGCACAGATGCCCACATGACGCCGTGGCTGCAGTGTTGCATAGCCCGTGCATTACAGTGCATGGGTTAAAAGTGTTTTTCCTCAAGGAAGATGGAACTTTTTTTAAAAGTAGGTTTATTTTATAATACTAGAAAGGATTTAGCTTTTCAGTATTATAGGAACTTAATAATTGACTTCTTACTAGGGGACTTTCTCAACCCTGGTCATATACTCGTTTCACTTGTGAGGAATCTTCTGTCATCCAGGTTGTATGATGAACTATATAGCAAACCCTAACAAGGAGCACATGTCGGCCGTCTTTGTTCATCGTCTGTGTGATACCTTTTCCGTGGAGAGCAGGTGTGTAAGTCTTTAACTTCTGCACTAAAGTACTTACCATTGTATTTTAACTTTTCAACAGCTTTGATCTCGAACTGATTTAACTCTTTATCAGCATATTTAATAAAAAGACTACTTGAAGTGTGAAAGAGGAAATGTTTAAGTAATTAAGCATTTCCCAGCAGGAAACCTCTACTGATGTTAAGAACATCTTGTCATAGTTTGGTTAATGTCACAGTCGTTAAATTCTCCTTTGTTTGTACATTACAGATATTGTTTGTTTTTATTAAAATTATCATTAACCATTTCAGATAATTATAAAGTGAACTGATCTTAAGTTCCAGAATTTGACCATCACCAGTTGTCCACTAGAATGGAACATGAACCCTCTGGCCGACAGGCTAGGCATATGCAGCAAAGGAACAGCACAGCCAATAGCCTTTACTTTCAAAGATGTCACGATTTTATGTAGTTTTGAAATCCATGTGCAGATGTTTACCTGTCTAAAAGTAGTAAAATGACAGTGTGACAATAGTCACAGCATTTGAGTAGCAGGAGGTTATACTAGCTTCAGTAGAAGTCAGGGTGGAGATGAATCTCTGTGCGCGAGGTTGAAGAAAGTTTACCAGTGACAAGAGCAGCGTAAACAGTAACAGCTCCAGGTCAAATGCTGTGAAAGATAATCTTTCTAAAAATGGGAGACATCAGGTGTTTAGACCAGCCTCTTTGTAAATAAATGTAGCAGTCCAACTGGCATAAATCTGAATTTAAGCTGGTGACATTTACAGTTCAGAAATCAGAATCTTTTTCTTAAAAATCCCTACCCTGTTTTTTCTTTTCTATATTAGGAGCTACTTTGATTTGTATGTATTTTCCTATGAAAATGTAAACACTCATTCTTCTTCCTTCAATGTTGATCGCCATTCTTATTCTGTCCATTGAGAATAGTCAACGAAAGGAATTTTGATTAAAAGCTTTGCTCAAAGGAAAAAAAAAAAAAAACCCTAATTTGGGTGTGAAAAGCCCCTGCTCATTTCTGTAGCCGAGGGTGTCAGGGCACGGAAGAGGGCAGTTTGCCCGGGAGGGTGATAATGCTGACTTCTGGGGTCATGACTGAGGGCCACCGCTGAGTCCTCAGGACAGATGCTGCATGCTAATCCATGGAGATCCTGCGGCTGGGGGACTCTGTGTCATGTTCACGGTTCGTAGTCTCTGCACACAGCAGCTGTCAAATGGAGATGAGCGAGCTGTTAGTACTCTGAGAGATGTCGTGCCTTGTATTATTGTTTTTTTTTTCTGCCTCCAGTTTTTGTTGGGATAAGGTTTTAAATGTAGTGTAGGTAGGACCAAGACCCACATTAACTTCGGTAGGGTAGCTCTACGTTCTTATTAAAGTGCTGACAAACATTTAAGCGGTAGTGTTCCCTGCAGGGAAAGTACTGGTGGGCAACTTAAATTTCTGTCTATTTTGCATCAGGCATTTGAGTTTCAAGTAAAAGCAATGGTGTGAGGTGTGCTGTCCTTTTGTCTGTGGTGTTAAGTGAGAAAATAAAAACACAGCTGGAGCTGTTGTGCGCCTTTCTGTGGGTGCTCGGGCTGCCTTGGTGCCCCCTCCCCAAGTCATTTGCGTTAGGAAGCAATTACAGGTAAGTGTAGCTCACAGATTTGTGACTTGTACCTCACTTCGTGATTGTGTAAAGTGGTGCTGGATGACAGGAAGTGGCTGTGAACGGCAGCGATGCTCTTTTACAGGAAGCCCCTGTTTCACCCAGACTCACCCCATCCGACCCATTTCACCCAGAAGTGAATCGCACTGCACGCTTTTTTTCACAGTGTGTTTTTGGTTCTGTTTGTATATTAAGACTCAATTTTTATAACTGCGTGGCATTCCAGTATGTAGTTTTGTAGGTGTATTTATTTTGAAATAGTGAGCTCTCTAGAACAGTCTGGATAATAGTCTGCAGCAGCCCTCACTGGCTTGCTCTGCCTGCGAATGCTCCCAGCAAGAGAGAAAGGGTGAGAAGTGAAGACAGCGGTTTCCACAGAGAGGAGCAACGTAAGTGAAAAATGGAGAGAAAGCCTGTTAAAAATAAGAATGTGAACAGCCGATCGAGTATAGGAATTGTATAGAATCGATGTCAGTAGCTGGGCCTGCTTCAGCTGTTTCCAGGTTCTTGGCATCTTACTCAAGAATGAGATAAAGGTGCACACAGGTATAAAAATTGGAAGGTACTTTCTTCAGAACAGTACTGGAGGGCTTCGGGTTATTGCCCAAGGCTGCTTTTTTACAGATTCTTAGAGAGAAAAGCCAGCTGGCTAAGGGGTGGAGTCTGTGTGCTTTTCTCTTGATTGACACACTTAGATTCCAGAGGCCTTTGCTCACTGTGTGTACTCTTCCCTTAATGCATCAATGTTAAGCATACTTTCCTAGTCACTGTTCTGTTGCTGGGAAGAGACACCGTGACCAAGGCAACTTATAAAAGAAGGCATTTAGTCGAGGGCTCGCTTACAGTTTCAGAGTGAGTCTGTGATCCGCACGGCAGAGAGCATGGCAGCAGGCGGCAGGCGGGCATGGCACTGGAGCAATAGCCACTGAGAGGGTATGTCTTATCCACAAGCACAAGGGAAAGAGAGCTGATTGGGGGTGGTGAGGGCTTTTGAAACCTCACAGCCTGCCCCCAGTGACACCCCCCCTCCAACAAGGACATACTTCCTAGTCCTTCCCAAAACACTTCCACGAACTGCAGACCATTCATGGAACCACATATGAACGTTGTTAGAGGACACAGCCCTATTATCCATGCACGCAAAAGCAGTCTAGGCCAGATCACCAGTTTCCCCTTCCCTGGATGCGACTGTAGATACATTGAATAGACTCTTGAGTGGTAACTAAGGGAAGGAGGAACTTACTGCATTGTTTGGTGGGGCGTGCATTCAGCTGGATGCAGGTGAGGATCCTGGGTTGCTAGGATTGCCAGGTGCATTGTGTGTGTGTGTGTGTGTGTGTGTGTATGTGTGTGTGTGTGTTGCCCAAACCAAATGGAATCTTAGGTTGCTGTTGTCTGGGCTTGTGCTTCAGGACCAACAGTTGTTAAAATGTTTCTGCTTTTTAAGCCCAAATGCTGATAAACTGTTGAGACTAATTAAGACTAAAAGGAAAGAAAATAATGCCAAGAATGAAATACGAAACATACTACAGATTCTACAAATAGTCAAATGAAAAAATATGAAGAATAATTTTGTCAAATTTAAAACTTACGTGAAATACAAAAATTTCTTTAAAACTGTAACCAAAACTACGAAATGGAAATGGTAGTCCTAGAACCTTTAAGCTTAACTCTCAACAAAGTAATTAAACTTTCTGTTAAAAATTTGCTTGATCGGTGAATTTAATAATACTTTCAAAATAATATTAATTAAAAACTGCTGCAAATAGTGTAGAGTCTGCAAATCATGAGGCTGCGCTAATCTTGATGCCCCAAAGAACAGTGTGCAAAAGATAAATTATATGAAATATCATGTTAGATGCAATAATCCTAAATTAAATGCTAGCAAACAACTTTAAAATATACTAAATATTTTAAAATGACATAGACTTACATGTAGATGATGTTTTGATATGTTAATGGATAAGTTCAGTTTATACTCAGGATTAAACCAGTGTAATTTGCCGTGTTAGTATTTGAGAGAGCTGTGTGATGGTCTTAGAGGCGGTAAAGCACCTGACAGGAGTTCAGTACCCTTTGTGTTCAAACAAACAAACATCAGGGAGGCTGGGGAGATGGCTCAGTGTTAAGGGCACTACTTTCTTTCAGAGGATACTGGTTTGACTCCCATTACCTACATGGTGGCTCACAACCTTCCCAGTTCCAAGGAACTCAGCACCTCTTGTGTCACTGTATGCACACAATGCACAGACATACATGCAGAAAATACCCATACACATAAAATAAGTATCTTCAAAAACGTAAGGGCGGTGAACTGGATCAGATGGTAAAGGCTCCTCCCTCTAAGGCTGGTGAGCTGGGTCAGAGAATAAAGGCTTCTCCCACTAAGGCTGGTGATCTGGGTCAGAGGGTAAAGGCTCCTCCCACTAAGGCTGGTGATCTGGGTCAGAGGGTGAAGGCTTCTCCCACTAAGCTTGATTCCCACATGCACAGGGTGGGAGAGACCTTCTGACAAGTTGTCCCTGACCTCCACGTGCTGCCGTGGGGTTAGTTTACCTGTGCATACACACCGACCTCCACGTGCTGCCGTGGGGTTAGTGTACCTGTGCATACACACCGACCTCCACGTGCTGCCGTGGGGTTAGTGTGTCCATGTGCATACACACCGACCTCCACGTGCTGCCGTGGGGTTAGTGTACCCGTGTGCATACACACCGATCTCCACGTGCTGCCGTGGGGTTAGTGTACCCGTGTGCATACACACCGACCTCCACGTGCTGCCGTGGGGTTAGTGTGTCCATGTGCATACACACCGACCTCCACGTGCTGCCGTGGGGTTAGTGTACCCGTGTGCATACACACCGATCTCCACGTGCTGCCGTGGGGTTAGTGTACCCGTGTGCATACACACAGATCTCCACGTGCTGCCGTGGGGTTAATGTGTACCTGTGCATACACACTGACCTCCACGTGCTGCCGTGGGGTTAGTGTACCTGTGCCTACACACCGACCTCCACGTGCTGCCGTGGGGTTAGTGTACCTGTGCCTACACACCGACCTCCACGTGCTGCCGTGGGGTTAGTGTACCCGTGTGCATACACACCGATCTCCACGTGCTGCCGTGGGGTTAATGTGTACCTGTGCATACACACCGATCTCCACGTGCTGCTGTGGGGTTAATGTGTACCTGTGCATACACACCGACCTCCACGTGCTGCCGTGGGGTTAGTGTACCTGTGCCTACACACCGACCTCCACGTGCTGCCGTGGGGTTAGTGTACCCGTGTGCATACACACCAATCTCCACGTGCTGCCGTGGGGTTAGTGTGTCCATGTGCACACACAACACAAAATGTAATGAAGTTATAAAATTATTAATCCCAAATGTTATTAGTGATTATCTTCATTTTATAAAACACACAAATATGATAAATTGTAAAATGGATCAAATTAAAAGCAATGCCTCTATCACAATTTGTGCAGGTCAGCTGGTGTCACAAGTGTTGTCTAGCAGTCAGTTATGAGGCGAAACTACCTGTTGGCACACCTAAAGCCTTCACCCATGCCGGTCGGCTCACTAGTCAGCTCTGATGGTTCTAGGATCCTCTTAAAGTCAGTACCACCATTTTTGGAACAGTTTTGGTTTCGATTCTTCTGGAACTAATCTGAGGCATATCCTTAAGAATGATTTCAGGAACACAATAACAAGTCCAATTGTTCAAACATATTCCTGCTGCTCACAGTGCGTGCCCCTGGGCACAGCATATCACATGGTCAAGCCTAGTGTGGATGCAGCAGGGAAAGGCTCTCTGTAATCAATGGGAGACCCATGGAGATTTGCTGTGTGCCTCTAAAGACGGTGCCCGAGGACAAACGATAGAAAGTCACGAGCCACTGTTCAAAAGTCATGCAAATGTGCAAAGAAAAATTCTTTAAAGGTTTATTTATTCGTTTTATATGAGAGCTCTATCTGCATGCACATCTTGATACCAAAAGAGGGTGTCAGATCTCACTATAGATGGTTGTGAGCTACCATGTGGTAGCCGGGAATTGAACTCAGGACCTCTGGAAGAGCAGCCAGTGCTCTAACCTGAGCCAGCTCTCTAACCCCAAAGGTAAAAATTTTTTTAAATTGCTATATACACTATAAAGAGTTGGCAAAGATGCTAATAAAACCAATATGAAAAGTGTGTTTCTCTGACACTAGTTTCAGAGCCAGGGCACTTGTCTTTACTCCTGGGTTCAGGGATAAAGATGTTTCTCTCCTGGCTCAGGCCTCAAAAACTGGGTGTGTTTCTTTGACTCTGGGTTTAGAGTCAGGGTGCTCAGTGATTGGTCAGTTTCCTGCCCTGGGATTGGTTGGTTCAGTTGGGCAGTTGGGAGGGGCAGCGGTGACTCTGCCTTCACGGCCAAACTGTGTTTCTTTCACTGGTCCCTTTTAGCTTTTTAACTCTAATCCTAGGGCCAGGGCATATTTCTTTCACTGGCTCTGATTCTACGGGACAAAGTGGTAGACTGTTGGGCGCTCGCGGGTGAGCCAGCCCTGCAGACAGGTTTGCTCTCGTCACTTCTGTTTAACCATTGGCAGAGAACAGTGTAGAGTCAAACCGAAGACAAGTAGAGGGAAAATAGCATCTACACCGAGGTGCAGTCAAACGCTGCTTTCTGAGCAACAGCCTGGTCTGCCACCGGAGAAGGCTCAACTCAGGGAGCTGCCCTGTACAAATGAGTGCACACGGACACCAGGGCACGTGTGTTTGATGGAAATAGCCTTCCGAGGGTGAGCGAAGGAATGTGTTACGTTAAATGATAGAAGAGAATTGAAAGAGGTAGAGAAGCCAAA